TAGAACCAGAGAACAAGATGCCAGAAGGGTGCCCTTGGCTGCCCACAGAACCCCTGGCAGCCGTATGGGTGGGTCCACCAGGAGAAAAATGCCACAAAAATTACTAGTCTCAATCATTGACCTTGCCTTTTAAAATATAGTTAACCACCAAGTATAAGCCAAGGACTAAGACCAAACTTAAGACCCTTCAAGAACGGCATTTGAGCTGCAAAAGCTGTCCACAAGTGGGCAGGATAAGTTAATTGGTATCTTACACCAGAGGAACTTCGGTAAGTAAATATTCCTTCTTGTACTGATAAGTACAGTTAAGGTGTAACCTTTTTCCTCCCCTTCCATCCAGCTACTTCCTGAGCCCATGCTTTACTAAGAACTATGATATAGAATAGTTAGGGGCACAGTCTTTGGAGCTAGGCTTCATGAACCAAAGCCACGACCAATCTTGTGTAAGTTATTTAAATTCTCTGTGTCTCATTTTCCCTATCTATAAAATGGCAATGATAATGATTCTAAGATTATTGAGGAGTAAATGAATTATTAGATGTAGCATATAAGATAGTACTTGGCATATAGTAGGGGCTGAAGAAACATAAGCTCTTCTCATTCATTTAGCATGAGGTGCCTGCTATGAGGCAGGCCCTGTGCTAGACACCAGTGATATAAAGGTAAATTTGAATAGGAAGACAGACACACGAACAAGCCTGCCTTCTGCCTCTTCCTGTTCTTTATTAATGCTCAGGAGATGAGGATACTACTACAGAACAGGTATAATAGTCAATGTATATACCCCATAACTGATAAGAAAGGTAGAAGGTATAAGAGCCAAAAATGTAATAGAATAATAATCGAGGAGGTCAACCCCTTGTCTATTATGAATTAGGTCACAATGCATGATAATGTAGCTGAGATTAAACACCCGGAAATTAGACCTCATCGTGGTTTGGCAAAAGAATTGACACAGACCAGAACAAGAGCCTAAGAAAATTTTCTAAAAGTACCATGATCACATCCTGGCCAGCCAACTAAACATTCAGTTACCAGATGTACCCAATAAAACAGCAGGACTTAAATATGTCCCACCTAGCTGAAAAGTTAAAAAACCTTGCACACACAAGCATACACACACAAATGCCATTTGGTACAAAAAGAAAATGTTACTAGGAAAACAAGGAAGAGACATGTGAGGTTCTTCCTCACATGTCTTTAAATCTCACCTCTGATACCCACTTGCTATCTCTCCTTAGGTGAGTTATTAAACTTTCTCCTCCCTGGTGTTTATATCTATGGACTGGGGATACTGTTATCACCTACTACATAGGACTGTTGTGAGGACTCAGTGAGATATTGCATAATAAACTCCAAGCTGTAGCAGTGAGCCTGCCCCAGCCTTCTCTCAGTAATAGCTGTTTTGCTGTTTTAGTTTGCTGTTCGCTAGCTAGACATCTACCTCCCCTGACAGCCTTGTCTGTCCCTCTCTCTCACTCTGTGTGTCTGTCTGTCTCCCTGTTTTGTACACAAGTAATCTATACACATATATTTATACAAGGAATCCATGTGCATTTTACAAAAACAAGAAAATAATGTACAAAAAAAATTTTAAGCCACTCACAGTGCCACCACCAAGAATAGCTATTATTTTGCTAGGTGTCCCCCTGTTCTTTATGTGAATACACTATGTGTGTGTAAATGTAAATGTCTGTCTCTGTGTAAATATGTCTTACATATATAGGATCATACTATACATTCTGTCCACTAGAATTTTTTCCTGCTCAGCAATATGTCATGCCAGTAAATATAAAATGTACATTAGCATTTGAAATTGCTATTAATATATAGTATTCTATGTTAAGTAAATTCCATAATTTATTTAGACAATTCCATATTGCTAGAAACATAAACTGTAATCAAATTTTTATCTGTTATAAACTTTGCTTATATTAATATTCTATGTTGATTTATGGATATATCTGAATACTTAGTGGCTCTTACCATAGCCAAGGGTAGTTTTCTCTTTTCCTCAATGAGGATGGATGATTGCTACTGATCTTGCTCACAAACCTGCCTTTGTATAATAGATAACATTTGGAGCTCTGCAGAAGATACATAATTTAACATAATAGTACCATGTAAAGTACTCCATACCTAAATACAACCAGCAGCAAACAACACAAAGAGTAAGCTGAACTCCCCAAAACTAGAGTTAACAAGGTGCAGAATTCATCTTATTGGGTGATCATGGGCACATAAATACGGAAGATCAAAGAACAATTAGAAAACAGGAACTGGGAACAAGCAATTATAATCTCTAGTTTGTCTTTGCACATTTATTTTGCATCAGGCAGAGATAAACATTGATTCATAATTACCTCCTCCCCTCCTTCCATATCTAAGTCATTTCATTGGGTAATGTCAAGGGCCACATAAATAAGTAAAGTACTGAATTAGTTTTAATAAAATGCATCCAGAATTCCCAAGCCAAAGAAAGGAAGGGAAGTCTTAGCTAATGAGGTCAGCATTTCTGTGTACATAGGTAGCATAGGTATTCAGGGCCTACTGTTCCAAAATGGAGGTACAGAGAAGAGTACACCAGATGTCTATCTGCTTCCAGGGAAAACCCAAACCATGAGGAGAATTGGGTTGGTTTGCTATAATTTGGTCACCATTGTTTAAGAATCTGGATGTCTGAATGTCTTGCAATTTTAATTTTTGAATATTCACTAACATCTAAATAAGAGTAGAGATCTCGATCCTCTTCTCAGTTCAGCTTCTCAATCACCTGGCACCAACATTTAACTTTACTGAGCCTCTGTAAAATTAAGATACAATAATGCCCTATTTCTACTCTCCACTTGATAGTGATATTCCCAGTACTTAGGCAAGAACATGTTAATTAATAAGAGCTCTTTGAACTTCTTTGAAGCTGCTGAGATGTCTGAGGTGGCATGACAACACATGCAGGATTAATAATATCATTTGCACTTATTTTGGTATTTACATTAAATATTTATAATGCAGTATTTAAATTCACAGACAAGTCAGCTCCCCATTATCTATGTTTTAATACTTATTTCTGTCCACTTTTGAGGTGAAACTGACTGTATTCACCATCTCAGCCCATGTTTAAGGTGGATTGTCTCTGAAATGTGGAATGTTGGGGATTCATGCAAACATTTGAGGAAGGGCACCTCCCAGAAAACTTTCTTTGGTGCCTTTTACCACCTGCCTCTTTTACTCAGTCATTGGGGTTTTGCCAGGTCTTACACTGCTCTTTCCTCAACTTGTTTCCCTCTGTGCAGCTTTTCTATTTTGTCCTTCCATCCTGGAGCATGGCCTTCCCCTCCCTCTCCTGTCAGCCCCACCCACTCTTGTCTCACCCATCATGGCCCTTCCCTTCCTCCCGGTGGTTTTGTAGGATTTGCTGCCCTGGCCGCTTGGGCTGTCTCCTCGGTGGCCAGTGCTCCTGTTTGGCAAGCCAGATGTGTGGCACTGCTGGGCACACATCAGCAGACAGTCAATACTAGGTCCCTGTTTGTTGGTAGGGACGAAATGGAAGACAGAGTGTGCTAGTGTCTCTCCTCATCGTCTGTGTTTGACCCCACTCCTTCTCTGGACAACTTGGACTCTGTCGTTACTACATGGAACAGTGAGATGGGAATGTCAAATGATCTGTAGAGTGTTTCAATGCTAATCTGAAGAAAAGCTATTAGGCCTCATTACCCATGTGAATTGACACCATTATGTAAGCACTGAATTAAATATATTGTTGAATGGATTTTGGAAAGCATTATAGCAAGCATTAAGCAGGTACCCAAATGGGAGGACAGCCATCCTATTTTCCTAACTGTAGAAATTATCTTTAGTCTTTCAACAAGCATGAGGTTTTCCTCATCCTTTTGGGGATTGGTTCAGTCAAGATGGTAGCATAATCAAGATGTCAGAGATGTTCCTAAGTGAGGAGGTTCAGAATCCAAAAGCCAAGAGAGGGCATTAATGAGTTCATGGCATCAGGTGAGTCTTATTCTATGTTGGCTCTCCCCAAGACCATCTTCAGGCTCAGTTATTCACTAAAAGGACTCACAGGACTCAGAAAAAAACTGTTATACTCATGGTTATGGTTTATTACAGCAAAGGGATACAGATTAAAAGCAGAAAAGGGTGAAGGTGCATGGGGCGAAGTCCAGGATAAACAAGACACAGGCTTCCAGGTGTCCTTTCCTAGTGGAGTCAAACAAATATGCTTAATTTTTCCAGCAATGATTTGTGACAACATGTGCGAAGTATTTGCCAATCTGGGAAGCTCACCTGAGCCTTAGTATTCAGGATTTTGACTGGGATCAGTCACACAGACATGCAATATCTGCATGACTGACCTCAGCTACTCAAACTCCAGCCTCCCAGGGCAAAAAGAGGTGTTCACCATAAATCACATTGTTGACATAAAGTATCTGATCATACTAGTATTGTGGCCCAAGGCCTCTGGCATGCAAAATAGTCTTATGAGGCAAACTATTACTAGGACTCAAAGCTCATCTCTCAGGAGCTGGTCAAGAGCCAGTCCTAAAAATAGGCCTGTCTTGGGAATGTGCAGGGGTTGAGCAACCCAACCCTTTCCTGCAGACATTCCCAGGGTCAAGACACTGGAAGGCTTTGGACACATGACTGAGCTTATCCTACCTCAGCTGTTACCTTCCAACAGTAACATTCTCTCTTCCTTCCACATGGGATCATTGTGATTCAGAATAGTAACGACTATTTTCACAAAAAGTAGGTCATCTACAGCAAGGAGACTATAAATTATTATTGTTATTTGTATCATATCATTATTATTCAGGGGGTGGGGCATAGGAATGAGCCCTGAACGCTTCCTTGTTATCTTATAACAAGACAGAAATGCCTTTTCCCAAGGTTCTGAAGGCAAAGATAACTTCAGAGCAGCATTTCTCCACTCCACACTGGCATTTAACCTTCTCCCTTGCTCTTCTCTGTCTCCCTTTACCTGGCAGTGGCTGAGAAATCCTGGCCCCCAGCATGAGAAGCGGACTCTGTTTGGCGACATGGTGTGCTTCTTGTTTATAACTCCCCTGGCCACCATCTCGGGCTGGCTGTGCCTGCGGGGCGCCGTGGACCACCTGCACTTTAGTAGTCGGCTAGAAGCCGTCGGGCTGATTGCACTCACTGTCGCACTCTTCACTATTTACCTCTTTTGGACACTAGTAAGTATGGGCCGTGGCTGGGGTTCAGGCCATTTGGAGCTGGCACCCTCACCGCTGGCACAGGCCTTTCTTCTTGTCTGTAACACACTCACCTGCCTGGTAGAAAGCAGACCTTCAGATGCTGGCGGGAGCGTGAGATTTGGTTTATGACTATGTGTGTGTGTGCCTTTGTGTGTGTGTCTGTGATGCTAAGGCAGATCACATAAAGAAAAAGCTCAGCTTCTGGGTGTCCATCAGTCAAAGACACAGACACACCTTGGACGTTTCCCTCCTCTAGTACTCTAGGACTCCATCTGTTACGAGGCATGGCATTTTCTTTCTCTTGTTTATATTTCTCACTTTTGCTGGGATTGTAGTATATTATGAATGATGTACTTGGCCGCTGTTGCTGTCACTGCCTGCACAGACCATGAATCCTCCCTGCTGGTTATTTTCTTCTTATGTCCTGACACAGCCTAAAGTCTTTGTTGGACGTGGAGGCGCACTTTGCCTGATGATTATTCTGTGTGTTGGGATATTGACTCTGCTGCCCATAAAAGCACTAATTTATCTAGCTGAGAAGCTGCCACCAAAGAAAGGCCATTTCCCAATAAGTGTTCTCGCTGTATATGAGGAAGAATTTTTAAATATCCCTTTTTACATCCTTTTAACTTTTAACTTCATGCAGTAGGTTGATTGCTTGAGTACTAGTTGACAGCACCCACAAAATGCAACATTTGATCTCTCTCTTTATGCTTACCTCTGGGAGCTGTAGGGAAGGACATCACTGTCTCCTAGAATATTTTCAGAAGCTAGGCCCCCTGCTTCCTGGCATTACTCTCCTGTGCCTGCTCGTTTCTAATCTGAGCACGTTCCATTGTTATTTAATATGTATTTCCTGTCTAAAATGTACCATTCCCATATCCCATAGCACAGTGTCAGCATGTGGAAGCTGCTTCTAGCATACACTTCCTCCCTTTCTCTGTCTCCCAGACCCTGTTCCTCCAGCTGCCACTCCCAAGACCCTATTCATTTCCCTCTTCTTCATCATATGGCTCTTCCAGCTCTGCGCCTCCCCTCCAGTGAGAGTGTTCAAACAGTAAGGAGATACATTTCAGTTTCAGTAAAGAGGGAGTGTTCTAATGCTAAGAACTTACCTGAGTCTTATGGTTGATTTAGACATTCTGTTCCCAGGCTAATGAAGCCCCAGGCAAAACTATTATTGCCTCCTTTAGAAGTCTACACTTCGGCCAGGCGCAGTGGCTCATGCCTATAATCCCAGCATTTTGGGAGGCTGAGGTGGGAGGATCACTTGAGGTCAGAAGTTTGAGACCAGCCTGGCCAACATGGGGAAACCCTGTCTCTACTAAAAATATAAAAATTAGCCGGGCATGGTGGTGCATGTCTGTAATATCAGCTATTTGGGAGGCCGAGGCAGGAGAATTGCTTGAACCCAGAAGGCAGAGGTTGCAGTGAGCCGAGATCATGCCACTGTACTCCAGCCTTGGTGACAGAGTGAGACTTCACCTCAAAAAAAAAAAAAAAAAAATAGTCTATGCTTCCAAAGTACGTCCTGGTTCATTTTTAATCAGGCAATGAAGCTGTTCCAGAAGCTTCCATTGTGATGGGAGGAGGGTTAGAAATAAGAAATGAAGGAGTCCTAGCAGCACCATCTAACTCTTGGTCCACAGCACCACTCTGGGAAAGTCATCTGACCTCTGTGAGGCTCAGTGTCCTCATCTGTCAAGTGGAAATACTGGTAATGCCCATCCTGCCAAATTCCCCTGGTGTTATGAGATTTAAGTCAACATGTATATGGGAAAGTACTTTGGAGAATAATATAAGTTCTTGCCATGTTTAGAGGTTTTCTAGTCTACAATTTTTTTTAGAAGAGTGCCTATGATGAAGGATGGATGAAGTGAACTTAAATGCTGGGCTTTCAAAACCAATGTAAGGCCTTTCTGAAATCCTGCTTTGTGAAGCATACACTTATCTAACAAGAAAGAAACAGGGTGATAGGTGGCTGGAAAGGAAGGAAGAAAGAAAGAAAAGAAAGAAGGTTATCTTGAGAAAAAATGGATGTGACCTTGTTTCATCTCCCATCCCAGGTGAAAGAAAGGTTTGGGTGGAAAAGGTACCTAGACTAGGCTCTTTCAGGAAAATGGTAACATACTTCATTCCAGAAATATTTCTCACAGGCGGTGCTAGGCATGCATTTAGAATCCAAGGGCCCTGTGTTTAAACCCAAGATTTAGCATCCTAATAACAGTGTAAATTCAAATAGGATACTTAACCTCTCTGTTCATCCTTCCTCTTATACAAAAAAAAAAAAATACAGGAAATAATTGATAACCACTGAGTCAATGGGTTATTGCAAAGAGTGAGATAACGTCTGAGAACATACGTGCAAGCACCTAGCAGAGTGTTGGCCCCAGGCTCCTTCCTGCGGCTTCCCTGCTCTGCCAGCTTCCACCCTCCCCCTGCCTTTATAGAATGCAAAGTTAGGGCAGGGAAAGAAGGCATCTCTCCCCTTTGACTGGTGTGAAAAACGTGCTGTGGAGTCAGCTCAGCAATAGGTTACTGAACATAGAATAACTCCATCCCAGATAAATGCTGTACTGAGCAGCCCTGGCAAGAGCCGTAATTCAGAAGCTGACAGCACTTGGAAACTGCCCTGCAGCAGAAACCCATTGTAAACAAGCTGTCAAGCTTAAGGAGAATATGCTGTGAAAATGTCTTAGATAAACAAACACGGTGTCAGTCCAAGCCTGGGTCCTCAGAGGAGCCGTTCCTGGAAGGGCCTCCCTGGTACTGTGAAGAAGGACAAGCGCTCATGCTGCACGCCTCAGAGTGCCTTGGAGTTTCTCGCAGGCACACATGGCGATGCGGGTCCAGCCCTGACACACCCTCAGGGAGTCCCACCTTCTGGAACCTGCTGTGTTCCAGGAGCACACCTGGGCCCCAGGAGGCCAGGGCCTTGGCCGGCTCCACCCTAAGAGCTCAGGTAGAGGTGTCCCAGAAACATGACTATCCATGTCACAAGTGATTTGAAGCCCGTGGACAGACACAAAGACAGCTGGCTGAGAACTGAGTCCACATTAAACATGAAGAAATTGTCGGTAATGGACTTGGTATTAGCCCCAGTTTGGAGTTTGGAGGAGAATTGAGGCACCGTGTATAGGAAGTCTTTCCACTCACTATATCACTGGTGCAACCAGTGTCCAGCACAGAAGGGAATGAATGAGCAACCGGGTTCCTCAAAGGCTGATTCCTGGTCCCATGGTTTGATTGTTTAAATTCTTCTTATAAAAGGGGAACCGCCAATGGAATGCTGTCCCAACAAGGCTCACTGTGGGGCTGCTTTAGACACATCCCCCACAAGGCCTACGAGCAGCCTGAGGGTATTCAGCGGTATTTCCCCATGACCAATTCACTCCTATACTCCTTTCCCCGGTGCAGTGAGAGATAGATAGGTGAGCTGGGCACATTGCTGCGGAGGCCGTTTGCCAAGGCCTCGTCCCATTGATATCCCTATATCCCTAAGTCACACCATCACTTCCAGAGAGAAAGGGCAAAATCAAAATATGTAATCAGATATCCCAAAGCCTTCTGTGGCTTTTTTTTGTTTTTTGTTTTTCGTTTTTTTGAGAGGGAGTTTTGCTCTTGTTGCCCAGGCTGCAGTGCAGTGGTGTGATCTCGGCTCACCGCAACCTCCACCTCCTGAGTTCCAGCGATTATCCTGCCACAGCTTCCCGAGTAGCTGGGATTACAGGCATAGACCACCACACCCAGCTAATTTTGTATTTTTAGTAGAGACAGGGTTTCTCCATGTTGGTCAGGCTGGTCTTGAACTCCTGACCTCAGTTGATCCGTGCGCCTCGGCCTCCCAAAGTGCTGGAATTACAGGCGTGAGCCATGCGCCTGGCCACCTGCTGTGACTTTATAGCACACCTTTGCCCCAGCCACAGTCACCTCCCTTATGGGAAGAGTAGATGCTAACATTTTCTAACCCTTCTCCTAATATTCATGTGATCACAGCTCTTTGTATAGCAGACTTGCCCATGATAGGAGGTTAGTTAGATGAATAAACTAAGAAACTTCAGGAAGCCCATCCCATAAGGAGTAGTATTTTTAGAATAGTGGCTCTATACTCTCTTCCTCCTCTCTCCTAAACTCAAAACTTTAAGAAATATCTAAGTGGGCCGGGCGCGGTGGCTCAAGCCTGTAATCCCAGCACTTTGGGAGGCCGAGACGGGCGGATCACAAGGTCAGGAGATCGAGACCATCCTGGCTAACATGGTGAAACCCCGTCTCTACTAAAAATACAAAAAACTAGCCGGGCAAGGTGGCGGGCGCCTGTAGTCCCAGCTACTCGGGAGGCTGAGGCAGGAGAATGGCGTAAACCCGGGAGGTGGAGCTTGCAGTGAGCTGAGATCTGGCCACTGCACTCCAGCCTGGGCGACAGGGCGAGACTCCGTCTCAAAAAAAAAAAAAAAAAAAAAAAAAGAAATATCTAAGTGAAATTCCTGACATTATTGTTTTAGCATCTTTTTATTTTATGTTTTCTTTTTCCTCCCTGCCTTATTCTTCTTCTAAACTAGACCTCCTTTCTTTCTAATTATATTGCATTGCAGGGATGCAGTGTCTTGGAGCATCTAGAGAAGTAGCATTAACCCAGGGCAATGCAAACCTGTGGTCTCCTTGGCGTTGTGCTCAACTGCCTTTATTTTCCCTGACAAAGAAGCGTCTTCTTATGATGCTGGCTTTTTATTGATTGAATTTGCCTGCAGACTGTGGTGATTAACCACAATTAAAATAGATTAATGTATAATAAGATCTCATCTGTTTGTCTACACAAGTGGGCTGAATTTTTAAATTTCCTGGCCAAAGAACCAGGAGACCTGCTAAGTTGTTGACTCCCCGTGTTCCTTGAAGCAGTGTGTCTCAGGCTTGAATGCACATGCGGATCACCTGGGGATCTTGTTAAAATGCACTCTCTAATTCCTTAGGTCTGGGTGGGGCCTGAAATTCTGATATTCTAACAAGCTCCCAGGTGATGCAGCCTGCTGCTGGTCCAGGACCACGCTGAGAGCAGAGCCTTAAAGAAAATAGCCCAATCCCTCTCTGTCTCTCTTTTTCTTCTTCTTCTTCTTTTTTTTTTTTTTTTCTGTTATCCTGTATCTAAAGGGTGTCACAAAATTCTTTCTTATATTTAAGACACACAAAATAACAGCCCAAGAACACTAAAATGTATGCTCTGTGCCCTGTGCTAGGTGTTTTATATGCATTACATCAAGTATTGCATATAACACCTTACAAACAAGGAAACTGAAGCTTGTTGACAGCAAATAACTTCCCCAAGTCATGCAACCACTAAGTAGAGGATGCAGATTCCAGGCCCGTGTGCCTGGCTCTGGAGCCTGCGGCCTGCACTCATAGCTACTTCTCCAATTACTAATGCCAGTGTGCACAGCTCTCAGCATCATGGAAAAGGGGACTCTTTATTTGAAATCCAGCTTTCCTGTAATGTTCACAGATTCCAGACTTCTTATATTGCCAGAGTTCCTTATTAGTATAATACTTGTCTGCATTCCACCTCTTTCCGGCCGTTGGCCCTGAACAGCTGGCTTCCCAGCCTGCCTCTCCTACATTCGTGAGTGACACCAAGCAGCAGCAGGACAGAATAGATACAAGAGAATCAAGCTTGAAAAAAAACCCAAAATGATCCACTTTGGCATGTTTAGGGACTTTTGAAGAAAAGCACATCTGTGTGAGTTTAAAAGCGTATATTTTCATACTCAACTCTCTCTGGCACTCAGCCCATGACATCTGCTTTCTAGCCTCAGAAATTTGAATAAGTGGCCTTGAATTTCATGACCCTGCCGTGAAGACTAAAAAGCCCATTCTGATCAAGGGCCTGCACTTTCATCTACTTCCAGAAACTCGAGCCCAAGTCATCAGGCCAGCCTATTTTCTGACCACCACAGACCTTTAGTGGGATCAACACAACCCATCCACTCCCAGATAATTAAACAGCCCAGACCTGATTTGTCACTCCAAGCTCATGAGCTCCTTCCTTTCCAGCACTTACCTACACATCAGACTCTGAATTTCTTGGACAGTCCATCAATGTTTGTTTGTTTTTTTTTTGAGATGGAGTCTCGCTCTGTCGCCCAGGCTAGAGTGCAGTGGCCGGATCTCAGCTCACTGCAAGCTCCGCCTCCCGGGTTTATGCCATTCTCCTGCCTCAGCCTCCCGAGTAGCTGGGACTACAGGCGCCCGCCACCTCGCCCGGCTAGTTTTTTTTGTATTTTTTTAGTAGAGACGGGGTTTCACCGTGTTAGCCAGGATGGTCTCGATCTCCTGACCTCGTGATCCGCCCACCTTGGCCTCCCAAAGTGCTGGGATTACAGGCTTGAGCCACCGCGCCCGGCCTAATGTTTTATGCCGGCCTTCTCCAAAACAGACTACAGGTTTAAGCATCTCATTCCAATGTATGTACATAAAAAGTGAGCACCTCGGCCAGGCACGGTGGTTCACACCTGTAATCCCAGCACTTTGGGAGGCCGAGGTGGGTGGATCACCTGAGGTCAGGAGTTCGAGACCAGCCTGACCAACATGATGAAACCCCGTCTCCACTAAAAATACAAAAATTTGCCAGGCATGGTGGCGCATGCCTGTAATCTCAGCTTCTCAGGAGGCTGAGGCACAAGAATCACTTGAACCTGTGAGGCGGAGGTCGCAGTGAGCTGAGATCATGTCACCGCACTCGAGCCTGGGTGACAGAGCAAGACTCCATCTAAGAAAAAGAAAAAAGGAGAGGCTTAAGTTTGAAGCAGTGTTGCAATCAGAAAATATAGGATGCTTATTCACTCATTCATTTACTCAGCAAACTCTTTTGAGCAACTTCCTAAGTGCCAGGCACTGTAACAGGTGCTGGGCATGCAAAGATGAACATAACACAACCCCTGCTCTCAAGATGCTTCTAGTGCAGGGGGAGAGAAAAACATGCACAGTGCTGTTCAGGACACTCAGTGCCATGTGGGTAAGCCTGAGGCACAGTGGGCACCCAAGGGAGTCATGCCTCACCCCCTCAAGAAGATTTATTAGGGGAGTTAGTGCCCATGCTGCAATTTCCTTACTGGAAGCTGTAGAATGCTAGAGCTGGATGCAATCGGGAATCACCCATTGGGGCCATCAAGCTGTTGTGCAGGTTGTCCACAGGACAGTACAAAGGGTGTCCTTCATATCATAGTATGAATGGGATCCTTTGAGTTATGCAGAGTCTAACTTGCAGGAAGGTACGTGAAGCCCTAGCATCCCACTCATTTAATGGAGAAGAACCTAGGCACCTGATAGGCGTATTGCCGAGGTCACACAGCTGGGCAAGGGCTGGCATTGTATCCACCACTAGTCCAAAAATAAATCCAAACTCAGAAAGAACCTCATTTTCCCATTTATATCCTGAATTTACCCAGTATGAGGAGGAACAAAGGAAGCCACCATGCAAGCCCTGCCCATGTGTCCACACATAGGGTGCTCTTTGGCTGCTGCCCAATCTCTCAACACTCACTGCATGCCAGAGCCATTTTGCCCAGGGTTCTTGCCCTGCTTTAGTGCTGCCAGCTCTTTGAAGCTCTTTCAAATGACGTATTTGTTTCTTGTATTGATTATCCACTTCTGCTCACCTGAATTCTTTTCTCTTCCTTTTCCTCTCCCACCCCCAGGTGTCATTTAGGTACCACTGTCGATTGTACAATGAGTGGCGTCGGACCAATCAGAGGGTGATTCTCCTCATTCCAAAGTCTGTCAATGTACCTTCTAACCAGCAGTCCTTGCTGGGCCTCCATTCCGTCAAGAGGAACTCGAAGGAGACAGTTGTTTGACGTTTGTGTGGTTGGTTGGTTGATTCATTGTTTGGGGTTTGGAAGTGTCTGCCCTGGGGTCATGCACTGAGCCACCCCCAAGCCCTTCCTTAAGCCTGTGGGTCTAAGAACATCCAGAGCGCGTTAGCACATTACCCCGAGCAACGACCTCCGCCAGAAGAAAGCAAATGCTGTTTTACTTCAAATCATGGATGCTGCAATCATATGATATTTGCTAAGCTGCCAAACATGTTTATTTAGCAGATACTGTATGGAATTTTCTGAACACCTCTTTAACGTATGAGGAAGGTTGTCCTGCTACGGATGCAATTCAATTCTTCCTTTTTTATTACTATTTCAAACATACATATATATATATATATATATTAAACTTAGATGATAATCAAAATCAAAAAGCCAACATAAAAACTGGTTTCTTGGTTTGGTTGGGTCTTATTTGAGTTAGTTTATTTGTTTCTCAGTTTCTCTTATGGATTCTTTGGAGTACTTTGGTAGCCTGAGTGGTCTTTGTCATCTTTTTCCGTCCGTTACCCAAGGAGACAGCATAACAGATGCAGAACAAGTCATATTTGAAGAATGTTTTCTACTAAACTTCATTTAATTATTCAGTTTTTAAAGGGAAAAAGGGCATGGCAACTCTCCACATAGTGAGCTGTTTATTTAAATATCATTAAGGAGAAAAAAAATATGGTGAAACGCTCACTCCTTTCAACTTGTTTGGTACTGACAGCTGATAGAAGCTATTTTCTAATAATAAATAATCCAGTGTGTGAAAGACAAAACCCACTGATTGCAATACTCTTTTTTAAATCGTAAAACCTGTGAAGTTTCTCAAAGCAGGTTTTAAAAGGAAAAGCAAAAAGGTTGGTGTTCTCACTCCCATCTCATTTAGTGCATGTCTTAATTCTGCATTCATAATGAATTGGAGGATCATTAGACATTTCTAGGAACCCTAGACCTGTTTTGCATATCAATTAGCATTCCCATTGCTCTATTGAATTTCTAGCTTGACAGGTAGATGTGGCAAAAAAAAAAAAAAAAGCCTGTCCTAGCAGCCCTGCACTTATTCTAAGACCCCTTTGTCTGATTCTTTAAAAAGAGCCCCACACAGTGCCTTCCCCCAACCATGAGCCAATTCTGTCACAGTCCGAAATAGACTTTTTCTAAGGGTTTCGCGTCCCTCTTTTATCCGTCGCAGGGGTAAAGGGTCTGATCCGCAGCCTGCATTGTGCGCGCGCCGAGGCAGGAGCGGATGTCTTCTGAGGAGAGCGCTGGCCCGGGTTGACTCTCAGGCTCCCGGCAGTCCGCCCGCCCACAGGCAGCGAGGAGGGGCGGAGCCCTGCTTCGGGAATGCTTAAAATATGGAATTCTAGAACATGACCCACATTCTGAGTATCACTCCAGCATCTGCCTTGTGCTCCCCACGTGGGAAAACGAGAAGTGCAAAGGAGCAGGCAGCGAGGAGGGTAGCGATTTTTGTCTGCAAATTGATGGAGCTGATGCAGGTGTCCCCTTTGTCGGGGAGCCCTCCATTCACTGGCTGCCCCCAGCGCTGCCTGGGGAGGGAAACAGCTGTACTGCTCTCCGCTGCAAAACTCAGATGTGCTTTATGGCTTGTGACAATAGATTTCCTCCCCACTACGCTTCACTTGGACACTTCAATTCCAGTAATATACGTCTCAGCCCTTCTGTTTACTCCGCCCTGCTCACCCCTCTGGGCTGTCATTAGCTGCACCACCACCAACAGTTTCTTAATTGACCTTTTTAAAATGCTGGACACCACCGGCCGCACACAGCTGCCACACATTAAATTTCCAGAGCAAAGAGTCCAGCTTGGTAGCTGGTGAATTGCAGCCCTGTAATATACTTGATAAATGATGTCCACCCAGCCTTAGTCCCTGAACTGTCAGGTGAACGAACCGTGACGCCTCTCAACTGAATGGCACAACATTCATGAGAGGACCATCTCCCTTCTCCTCCCTGCTTCTTCCATGAATTAAGGAAGCAGCAGATTTCCAGGATGATTTCCTGTCAAGGTTGGTTGCAGAGAATTCCTGCCATCTTGGTTCATGAGATGAGACATGACACCATCAAAGGCAGCCAGGTCCCAGGCAGTCAATGGGGATCCTGCGTTAGGAAGGGTTTGCACATTAATACTGTGCCTGTGCCACACCTCTTTCCTTCGTGTTTGCATCCCTGCCCTATGAAGTAAAGCAGAGTCCAAGATGCAAGGAGTAGATTGCATGTGGGATGGTGGCAGGACACCCCTGGCAGCCAGGCAGAGCATCAGTGCCTCCCTTCCCAGGTCACCAGCTTGGGACCTCCTTGCGAGAGGCTCTGATCTCCATCGGCATCAGGGCCCATAGGGGATTCTGAACTCTTGGAGGATATTTCATCCCCTCCAAGCCATGCCCCATGGAAAGGGCTACACCTCCTACAGGAAGGGGTGCCTTTTGTTCATGGGTACAGAGGCACGGTGCAGCTTACCAGCACCCTTGCTAGCCTAGACCTCTTCCTGTACTTCTTTTTGAAAGATCAAGAATGAAGAGGAAGAGATGAGGAGTGGGGGTCCTTTACGTAAAGGACCCTGGTGGTTCATTGCTTCTCTTCCACAGACTTTTTTTAAAACTCCCTCTCTTCCATACTCCTTGCTGTGATTCTGTCCTAATCATTTTTCTTGAGAATATCATGTAGAGATAAATGTGTGTCACAGTGAAGCCAGAAGGTGAATTAACAACTAAGACAAATCCAGCATGCTCTTGCCTGCCCTGCATGTGTGCTCATTTGGGGAAGGACGGAGGACACAGGGCATCGACACAAATTCTACAGCTCCTCAGAGAACAGAGCAGAGACTCAGATGAGCTGTAAAATCCATTAAGGAAAAATAAATGGCATGATTTGGAAGTTACTTTGATTTGTCTTTCATTGTCCTAGTCTCCCCTGCCCCAAGTGCCTGGGCCCTGCCATGGATTGACACTTTCAGTGGGGCTGTAGCCATAGGCATTTCATTTTCAGTGAAAATAATTCATCTGGGGCATGGAGGAGCCAAAGGAGAAAACGGAATTGAAATCGCAGCCCAAATGACCCCACACTTGGGGAAGCAGCCAGCTTCTGGTTCCACTTCCTCCTAGGTCCTTATCGTTCCCCTCGGGACACTGACCCTGGCTGGGCTCTGGGTCTGCGCCTGCACCGTGCATCTTTCTCCCATATTTGAATCCCCTCAGCCTTGCCTGACACTCCCCACAGCTTATGCAGCTGCCCACACTAGGAAATGCCCCATGGCCCAAAGAACCTGAGAAGGAAAGACAGCTAGGAAATGAAATCAGGAAATGCTTCCTTTCCACTTCAATCCAGAGTGTTCCTAGAAGCTGCCTGAAGGTCTGCCACACAACTTGTAGTCCCTAGTGCTAGATGAGAAATGTAGAGTTGTGATTCTGATGCCTGAAGTAGAATGGGAGTTGAGCCAGGCATGGGGACAAGGTTCAGGCTTATTTTAGGACAAGAAGTTAGGGACCATGATGGACTTGGCTTGACATCATTCTTCCCAGCCAAGCATATGAGGACCTGCTTTCTGCAGATGGACCACATGAAGTCTGGTGCTGCTGAGGTTGGAGTCATGAGAAGTTGGTCCTATGGCTTGTGATATCTGGACAACTGCTAACTCTTTCGAAATGTCAGTTCTGCAGAAATACATGGGCTACGACCCACCGATTTTGTTATTTTCTTTTTTTGTTTGTTTGTTTTTGAGACAAAGCCTCGCTCTGTCGCCCAGGCTGGAGTGCAATGGCACGATATCTTGGCTCACTGCAACCTCCGGGTCCTGGGTTCAAGCGATTCTCCTGCCCCAGCCTCCCAAGTAGCTGGGATTACAGGTGTGTGCCACTACGCCCAGCTAATTTTTGTATTTTTTAGTAGAGACAGGGTTTCTCCATGTTGGTCAGGCTGATCTCGGACTCCTGACCTCATGATCCTCCCGCCTCGGCCTCCCAAAGTGCTGGGATTTTTCTTTTTTTATTGATGCCTTCAGATGATACACTTTTTTTTTTTTTTTTTTTTTTTTTAATGGTTTCACAAAAGTCTCAGTGTCTAGGAATTGGCTTTAGGACATTTTGCCTTCCTCTTGCTATTTCAGTCATTCTGGGGTGATCCTGGCTCCTCTTCCCAACATGATAGAGTAGAAGAGAACCAGCTAGGGAGTAAGGCTACATGAAGGTTTTTTGTGTGGCTTCTTTTTGAGACAGGGTCTCGCTCTGTCACCCAGGCTGAAGTGCAGGGGCGCAATCTCGGCTCACTGCAACCTCCGCCTCCCAGGTTCAAGAGATTCTCCCACCTCCACCTCCCAAGTAGCTGGGATTACAAGTGCCCACCAACATGCCTGGCTAATTTTTGTATTTTTACTAGAGACAGGGTATCACCATGTTGGCCAGGCTGGTCTCAAACTCCTGACCTCAAGCAATCCATCTGCCTCAGCTTCCCAAAGTGCTGGGATTACAGGCGTGAGTCACCATGCGCAGCCAAGACTACATGAGTTTGAATCCTGGCTCCACAGTGTCCCAGCTGCAGATTGTGTACAAGTGACCCCATCTATCTAAGCCTCAGTTTTTGCTTCTGTAAAATGGGGATAGTATCTACCTCATATAGTCCTTGTAAGATTCACAAGGCTTAGCTCCCCCTTCACAAATGAACAGTGGTGCCATTCCCTTTCTATCCTTCCACTCACTATTGCTACCGTCTAGGTTATTTTGCCCCAGCCAGGATTTCAAAGAACAATTTCAATAATCAATTTGAAAGACCATAAACAAATTGTTTTAACTCTTACTCAAAAGGAAGTGGGATTAATGTAAAATAATCAACCGATACTTATTGTGCACTGTGCTTGGGAATAAAAAGAACTATTAAGATAACTTTCTGGAGGTTGAAATTACTGACTTGATTGAGATCTTTGAATTATGGGTAGATTTTTGATTTCCTTGTATTTCCTGATACCCAGACCTAGGGTTAATTGAGAATTCATTACAGATAAAAATGTACTAGTTCTGGGTCTAGTGCTACAGAGGAAAACGAATATAGCCCATCAGTTGTCTGTGTTCCCAGAAATGAGACATTCGTGAGTCACTGAGCTCATACATCCAGTGCTTTCTTGAGGCTCTGAATTCTCTGCACAAAGACAACAGAAGGAGAGTTGGCTCAGGGAGCCCTGCTTCGTTATGAGACACTCTCTTTTTTGGAATACACTTTTCATCTATCAGTCAGGGCCATAGTTTTCCCATCAAGGAAATGAATATATGAGTCTTT